GTTTAATTCCCCCCCCCCCAATATACCAATTTTTACAGTCTCCCTATCTTCCCTCCCTGCTTCATTGTCCTCCTCTTGTTAAAATCTAACTTCTTTTTTTTTTAACAGTATTTGGTTTTTTGTCCCCATGCTAGTAAGTAAGTTCCGTGTGAGCAGGGCGTTTCCTGGCTTTGTTTCCTGCCATATTTTCTGCTGTTCAGTTAATGACTGAACTTTTAAAAAGTATTTGGAGGAATGTATGATAACAGTTTCTCCAAGTTGAATTTATACCTCACTTGTCTTAATATATAGAATCACATTTTCCTGCTTCGTGGATTTTATAATAACCAATATAAATAATTGAGTATAATTGTCTCCAATAGACTTAAAGAATTATCAGTTAATATTACGTTTTTTAGAACTTGTCCTTTTTATTCACTGTTATGTTCAGGCTCATTTTACCTGTGCATATATTTTTGGGCAGTGAGTCATTTATGTCTTTAAAATAAAAAGCTACAGTTGGCCTCACAACCTTTTAAAAGCAGTATTTTAATGGGCTTACAAATTAAAGATGATACTCAGTAAAAATAGAAATATATTATTTAATGCTCCAAATTGGAAAGTTTGGGCACAGTTTACTGGAAATGCCGCACTTCTAATTTTAGGAAGGATTGTTACTATTGCTAATTGTGAGTATTGTAAGATTGAAAGGGAGTGTGTTTCACTGTCATGTTCGAGTGTATTTCATTCTCTTTTACTCTCCCTGCATATGTCTTTGTATTTGTGAATGTATGTGTGTGGTTTTTTCCAGTGATCTTTTCTGTTTCAGAAAACTCTTCCTGTGGTTCCATTGTTCTTGGACACCTTGCTCATGCCAAGCCCTTTCCAAAATTTGATCGTATTAATAATATAAAATTGGTGTATACATTTTTATTATATCTAATTAATAGAATATCAGATGCCATTTTTGTCTTTGAGCACAAGTTGTTTTTTCATGTAGCTTTGTTTTTACCTTTTGTTGATTAACTTCTTTTGATTTTCTTAGCTTTTTTAAATTTTTAACTTCTATTGATGCAGTAACTTTGGGTCAGATATAATTTCTAATCTCCAGTAGCTAGGCCTTAGAATGCCAGCTTTACAGTTATCATTCACATGATCTTAGGAATGTTAGGTAGCTTCTGATATTTTCTTCATCTATTTATAGAGCTAATTTCTATCACTGAGAGTTATTGTTCAAGTTAAATTACAAAGGGAGGCAAGAAGGGAGCATTTGATTTTGAAGCTGAATCCCTGTTAGGTTATGCCTGTTGAAATTTGCAACCCCTTTCACCCTCTCACCATGTAAGCTTTTCTTTTCCTGTTACTTTTGACATCTTTCCCCACCTTTCCTTTCTCTCTCTCTCTCTCTCTCTCTCTCTCTCTCTCTCTCTCTCTGTCTCTCTTTTCTTTTTGGTATAAGTCTCACAGAAGATCAAGAGGGTAAAAAGTTTCATGAGCTAGGTTAACTCTTTGTCAGCCAGTCAGTGTTTTAACTCTTTCCTGTCTCTTCCTTTGTCAGTCAAGGAGTACTTGGGAAAGACAGTGGCGTGGAGGACTGGAAGAGAGGTAGCTGCATACTTAATTCCACTTTGCTGTTACCCAAGCCTGTCTGTCCAGGTCACAGATGGAAACCCAATCTACTTGGAACAAGAAGAACTTCTTCAGTGTTAATCCTGTGTTAATGAATTTGTTAAATTAGTCTCTGCCAACACAGAAAAGAGTACTTTGTTATATATAAGAGATTTTATTGTTTCATAACTTCAAGAACATGATGGGAAAGGTGCTCTTTCAGCTGGGCCAGGGAATACCCGGTTGGGGCAGTAGTACACTGAGCATGTTTAAGAAAGGAGCTCTGGCAGGAACAAAAGTTATATTCAGCTCAGTTTTTAAGGGTGCAGAGGGTGTTTCTTTACTGTTGTTAAGACATTTCACTATTTAGATTTGATAAGAAAGTAAGGAGGTATCTTAACATTATTCTTTCAATGATAGTTTTTTTTTTTAATTTTTTTTAATGTTTATTTTTGAGAAGAGAGAGAGAGAACAGGGAAGGGGCAGAGAGAGAGGGAGACACAGAATCCAAAGCAGGCACAGAGCCCGACGCAGGGCTTCAACTCACAAGCCATGAAATCATGACCTGAGCCAAAGTCGGACGTTCAGCTGACTGAGCCACCCAGGTGTCCCTCAACTGATGATAGTTTTAATCAATTTAATTAATTTATTTGTACTAGGCACTATTCTATAAACCTTTTAAAAACAGTTTTAAGAATACATGAAATATAAGAAAATCTTCTAAATTATAAAAGGAAGCAAAAGAATAATGAAAATCATGAATGGGACCATTAAAAATGAAGACTGGTCAAAAATGTGCTCATTGAGACTTGACAAAACCTATAATAATGACCTTACATACTTGCCTAGGGTTTGACTAAATTTGGCTTTAAGCCTTCTAGTGGTCAACAAAGAAAGTTAATATTTAAATTTACTGTACGATGAGTAAAAACCCTATTGCTCAGAAGAAGCAAAACTGTTCTTACTACGAAAACCTGAAGGACTTTCTCCAGAGAGTCCACAGGGAAATGACACTGTATGATCTCTAACAGATAACACTCTCGATAGCACCTTAGAGGAGGAGCAAGGGTGACTGTCACAGGGCTGTTTCCTAGGACAAGTGTCAGTGTAGACTGATGGTGTCAGGCTGAGCACCAGTCATTAAAGGAATCATTCTGTGGAATGAATCAGGTCCAATATGCCATGAATCACAGAACGTCCTTCTCTGCTGGTCTGACTTGGTTTCAACACATATTTTAGGAAATCTAAAAATGGAGTGTGTATTCCTCAATCAGTTGTTCTTTTCTCAGATGAATTTTGTTAAATATTTGCTGGCACTGACAGCCATGTTTGTGGAGAAAGCTCTCAAGTGCATCCGTACGGAATGTGGAGTTTGATTAGATTGACTTTTGCAAACTGGAAAGCTGAATACAGATACAGGCCTTCAGGGGCCATCCAGCCTATGGAGGAGCTGGAAGATGTGCCCTCATAAAAAAAAATTCAGTCTAACAAATTCTTTGAAATCTGCCTTTAGTGTCCAAGCAAATGTTAGCACAGTTCTACCAGACTCTATGTTAAGGTCACAGTAAATTGAACCTGGCAGCCTTTTCAAGCTTGTATAACCAGATACCCACTTGGTGGAAAAGCTCAGTGGACTCATGAAACTTTGTCTAGCTTTGAGCATTGTGACTCCTTGGTTTATCTTTGAATATATACTGAGAAAATGAGAAGAAGGAGCTTGTTGAGTAGAACTGTTATTTATTATCCAATTAAAAATTGAGGGACAACCTACCCAAAGTAACATATTTGGTTACAGAATAAGTGATCTATAGCCCTTTCTTTCTCTGGCAGGAATTAGTTAACAAAGGCACTCCTTGTTAGTGATAACAAAACTATGGTGCCCTAAAGCTTAAAAACATAATAATAAAGTATTTGTCTCAAATGCTCAGGAGAACTGCATGCACCAGCTGATAAAAGTGGCATCATGTTATTAATAAAAAACAAGTTAACAAAAAATGAGGCTAGAAAATACCCTCTTATACCTCAAAGAACACATTTTTATCATTCATCAAGAACTTTTTTACTTTTTTGACTCTTGGAGGATTAGGTGCTGGTTCTGAGTAAACATCACTGTATTTGCAAAGAATTTCCCAGTGGGAAATAGTTACTGAATACTAAGGTTTATGTTATCATTAAAGGCTAAAAAATGCTTCGATTTTGTGATGCTCATTACTATGCCTTTTCCTATAATCTGCCTAGAAGTCAGGTATCCGTGCTCACTGACAATTAACTGTGTGGTCACTCAGTGATGATAATTGATGGTAATGAGATGAAAAGCAGAACATTCAGTTGACTACACCAGTTTGCTACAAATCAGGAAATTCAGCTTCTGGCCTTCACTCAGTGATTTTATGATATTTGTCAATCTTTTGAACATTCTGTATCTCAGCTTCTCCATCTGTTAAACTGAGTTTGTAATAACTGCCCTGGTCTATCTCACAGGAATGTTGTATGGACAAATTGGATAAGTGTAAAAGTGCCTTGGAGGTAAAGCCACTCTGTGAATAAAAATTAGTGGGATGGAGCTACTGAAAAGTACGTTGCAGAGGCTAGAATGGTTCATCTCTGCAGGCTTCATGACTAGATAAGGGTTCATAATGGATTCCTGTCAAGGAAACCAAACCCGTCTTATCAGTTCATGACTATATAGTATTTAATGGAAAAAAATCTCTTTACAAACATTTGTTACCTTGAAACAAATGTGCATTAAAAATCAGTCATGTTTTAATTAAATAAAACCTTTCTAAGTAGCTTCAAAACAGTCTCTAATATCCAGTTGACAGTTTCCATAGTCTATTTGGAGGGGTCATAAACATTTGATATGTTTAATAGAGTTGAGAAATAAGTATATGAAACAATGTGTGGGGAAGAGAAATTGACTGCAATGTTTTCTCAGGTAATAATTATTACTGTTTTTAAGACTCCTGACATTACCAAATTGAGATTTCTCTTTTGTCTATTTTATAGAAATGTCAACTTCTCATCTCTGTCTAAACCATGTATTTTTTTTCCTGGTTATTTCATTTTATGTCAGAGTTAACATCCTCATTCTCATTCATAATCATGATGCAGACAGACCCACTCATTGCAACTCAAAAAACATAACCACCAAATCTGTTGAAGATGAAAAAAAGTGGGGGAAATGGCCTTTCTTGAAGGAATCCCTTAAGTGCTTTTTACTCCTCCCCTTTATTCTCTTCACATAAATGCTCAGAGAGTTCCTATGTAAATTTACTGCGCCTATGTTTTCAGCCCTTGAGAAGGATAATTGAGCAAGTATTTAATTGTTTGGCCATTGCATAAAAGAGGTTCTGTCCAAGCTAACTTTAGAAACTTTTATTCCCAAGCCAACTCGATCTCTTTTCTTCTGGCAGGGGACCATTCCTAGTGGCACTGGGGAAATCTTGGCACCCAGAAGAGTTTAACTGTGCTCACTGCAAAAATACAATGGCCTACATTGGATTTGTAGAGGAAAAGGGATCCCTGTATTGTGAGCTGTGCTATGAGAAATTCTTCGCTCCTGAATGTGGTCGATGCCAAAGGAAGATCCTTGGAGTAAGTATCAGAAACCTGTTTATTCTGAATGAGCTTTAAAGCACAATAATTTTTTTGTTTTGAAACCCTTACATCAGTTTTCCTTTTTATTTTCTTCTTGCTTGATCCCCTCTCTGTTTTCATCACTGTTTATTATTGTAAAGCAAAACTAAATAGACCTCTGTAGAAGTATATCGGACTCGTGGGGTTAAGTTGTCTTTGGGTTTGTCTTACTGAGTGCTCGCTTGTCTGGGGAAAGTCTAGCCACTGTGGGGAAAAAAATAATTTACTGTGGGTGTGCTACCTCAACAGGACCCTGTTTGCTCAGGAATGAAGAGGTCGCACAGGACCACACACATCAGAGTTCTCAGAACTGACACCTTCACTGTTTTAAATTAAATTCCATAGCTTTTATAAGACCAGCATTTCCCCATTTGTCAGGGTTCAAGCACAGGGCACAGATCTCATGAAATATATAAGACATGAAGCTTATAAATGATATATTTTTCTTAAATGCATATAATGTTTAAAAATATAACCTATTTTATGAGAGTAGACATGTAATAGAAAAATAATCTAACCAACGGTTTTTTTTTTTTTTTCCCTTTTCGAAAAGGAAGTAATGTAGGAGTCAGATACATAATGAATAATGATGAATGAATGAATTTCCTGCTCTGGAATACTCAGTTTGCAATTTGCAAAGAAAGGGTCAGTCATTTCCTGTGGGTGACCAGGAGTTGGAATTTTATTTTGGAAGTGGCCAAGGTGCCTGGTCCCATACGAAACTCCTAAAGCTAATACAGAAGATGGAGATGGCATTGCTGAATTCTGCCATTCTCTCTATAAAAAATGTAATAATGAAAGTTTAATTTGTGTCAGTTGAGAGAAAAGTTAGTATAAATTATTGAGTAGTGTTAATTTCATGTTACATCTTTAAGTGGGTCTAAAACTTTGAGGACACTTAAATTATAAATATTCTTCATGAAATATTTCTGTATTATTAATTTGTACAATATGTTGGGAACAAAAAAGTAGCAACATACGGGCTATACCTTCCCAAGTGACAAATAATAAGTTGAATATATGTTAATACTGTATATAAATACAGTCTATGGAATTCTAGAATCATTAATAACACAAAGTCAGGTAACAGTCTTAGAACCAAATGAGGTTGTAGGAAATGGAAATCTTATCCTCATTGCCTTAGAGATGGGCCAGAACTTCACTACAGGGACAGATCCTCTGGGTTGTGTTTCAGTTGTTCAATTGCCTGTTCTAAGGATAGGAATCAGTCTCAAGGATAGAAAGGGAAGTAAATGCTAAGAGCCATGAGAAATGATTTGGTTCAGTGTGTATTTGTTGTACATTTTCATGGTGATCTTTTTGGATCTAAATAACTGCCATGTCTTCCCATTATCCATCACTGGCAACTGTTGCATTTTCTATGGCTAATAACTTACTCTGTATCATTGTATTTTGACAGTTTTTTATTATAAAAATATTTCACTCTAAATAATTAGAAAATACCAAAAAGATGTAAAGAAGAATATTAAAATGACCTATATATTTACCAGTCCCAGATAATTCCTGTTAAGCTTAGGATGTATTTTCTTCCAATTTGCTCTTTGTAATTCATTTACAAAATTGTAACCATACTTTATGTGTAGCATCCTCTTTTTTTGTGATAAAAGAGTAAATCCCATGTTATTAACTCATCTTCAAAAAATAATGTTTAATGGCTCCATCTCTGTCAATCCAAAGAAATGATTCCTTGCAAAACCAGCTTCTTAATAAGACTTCTTTTACTAATTAAACTCTGGCCCAAGTCTTTGATACTTGCTGTTTTGTTTTGTTTTGTTTTGTTTTGTTTTGTTTTGATACTTGGTATTTTTAACCATTGGGTCATTGTTGACTAGAATCCATACTTTGTGGTTCAAATTTTAGATGCTCATTTGAGTGTGTGCTTAGTGTAGTCACAGCTGATTTCCAGAACTGTAAACATGTGTTAAGCTGATTGGATTACACTGATTATGTTATTACTCCCATAATACACCAAAGCATAGGTTTGTTTTAATTTTTGAACATTTTGCCCTTCCTCCATGACATTTCCTTTCCTTTTTTTTTCCCTCCATGACATTTTCAAGATAATACTATGAAACCTATGTAATATTCCCTGACACCCTTTTGAGAGAAATCAGAATGTATTACAGCAAGTACTTATGAAATGCTTACTTCATTCACTCCATATATAATGTTTAAGTAACACAACAGTCGTTATTTAAATAAGTTTACTGATGGGTATTTGTGGAAAACACACGTATTATATAGGGTATCAGTTTAGACCATTTGTGAGTGTGTCTTTAGAGGAAAAGCTGATGGTAATGACAAAGCGTGTGCCTACGTTGGGTCAGTTTAAAAGGGCTGTGTTGGTACAACTAATAGAGTAAGCATCTGTGTATGATCATCTTTCTTTATATCCAATTGCCTTTCTGTAACAGGAGGTCATCAATGCTTTGAAACAAACTTGGCACGTTTCCTGTTTTGTGTGTGTGGCCTGTGGAAAACCCATTCGTAATAATGTTTTTCATTTGGAGGATGGTGAACCATACTGTGAGACTGGTAAGATCCTGAAGCCATTAAGTTTCTTAAATTTTGAATAAACTTAACCCTTAATGTTACTACCAAGTTGAAAGGCAGTAGGGGACAAAGTGGATTTCCAAATTGTTTTGGGGGCATTTAATGTCACTCTAAATATATAGCAAAAAACTATGTAAAACTTTTATGTGATTTCGTCAAAACAGATATTCCCAGTTTCCTGAAGAGAAATGAGCATGTATATATGCATTATCTAGTAGGAAAATATTTTACTTGAATCCCTAATAGTTTATGGATATGAATTCCACCACATTGTGTAGCTGAAAGCTACCTCTAACGGTGAATTTTGAGTGGTTACAAACATGAGAAGTATTCAGCTATTGAACATGATATTGATTTGCTGTTTAAGGCAACCTCCTTGAAAATAAATTGGAAGTCCTTTGTTACTCTTACTGAATGGAAGGGTAACCTTGGCTTGGATTGCTCCCTTAGTAAAATTATTTTTAATAAACTGGACTCTAAGGACCAATCTACTACATTTGTCTTACTACGTGAGCTCTGAATACTTCCTTTTCTTTCCCAAAGGCTGTAAGTGAAGTTTTGTAACACTTATTTGTTATTATTCCTCTTAGATATTAGTACCACACATATGTTTCAAAAAATAAAATATTTTCCTTCATCATGCCTGCATTCATTACCGCTGCATTTCCACTTTAGAGTTGTTGATCTACCTTGAAATGCAAAGTGTGGTGCTGGAGGAAAGGAATGTTGTACACTATTGAGTTAAGGGAGCAGTCAGCTTCTAATCTGAGGCTGGTAGCATCACGTGACCTTTTATTGCTCACTCATTCCTTCCAGCTGAGTTAGGAGCAGCGTGGATCTATGCCAGACTATCCACCAGGAAGCTCTATGGAGACGCCAGTGAACTATCTCATCGGGGGGCTGTTTGGGGACAGGATGGCTACAAGCTGCTACCCTGACCCAATCAGAATATTTCACATTTTGTGATTTCACTTAATTCTTCTGAAGAAAGAGGTGTTTGTTTGTTTGTTTGTTTTAAAATTAAGTTTTGCAAGACATTTTGACTAACTGGCAGATAGTCCCTGTCCAGCTACATACCTATACAGCTATCTAGCCTTAATATCATATTCATGTAGTCTAAGAAGGAAGATTTTTAAAACCCCAAAATGGCTTACAGAAAAGGAAAAATATTTTTGAAGATTTATTTAAATGTCACTTCTAGGGGCGCCTGGGTGGCTCAGTCGGTTAAGCGTCCGACTTCAGCTCAGGTCATGATCTCACGGTCTGTGAGTTCCAGCCCCACGTCGGGCTCTGTGCTGACAGCTCAGAACCTGGAGCCTGGTTCAGATTCTGTGTCTCCCTCTTCTCTGACCCTCCCCCGTTCATGCTGTGTCTCTCTCTGTCTCAAAAATAAATAAACATTAAAAAAAATTTTTTTAAAAACAAAAAATAAATGTCACTTCTAATCAACATGATCTACTCTTGTATTTTTTTAACCTCCAACACTTGTTATTAGCTCAGCCTTTCCCATTTCAATAAATGCCCCACTGTCCACTATCCCAAAATCTAAGATTCTATTCTTTCCCTTGCTCTCCTCATATCCAGTGTAATTAGTAAATTCTAGCAGTACCCTCAGTGTATATAATATATAAATTCATTCTTTTCTCTTCACCTCAGTGGTCACAACTAAATCCAACTCACCCTTTGCCTGGATGCTCTGATCACCAACTAAGATGGTCTGTCTTCTTTCCCCAACCTTTAAATAGAAGTTATTCAATGTGAATGTTTCAATGTGAATTAGACTATGCTTGATACCTTTGTTGGCTTCCACTTGAGTTACACATACATTCCTTACTAGACATGCTTTGCCACCCTTTTCTTTGACTACCTTACCCTCTGTCAGGCATATATCATCACCCCTTTGCTTTTCTGAACATGCTGAGATTCTTCCTGCCTCAGGGTCTTTGTATTTGCAGTTTCTTCTAACCGATATGTTCTTCCACAGCTTTTCTGTGGTGAGTTCTTTTTTTTGTCAAGCCTCAGCCCAACTGTTACCTCTTTAGAGAAGCCTTTCATAACCCACCTATTTAATGGAGTGTTACACACTTCCCTTAACTATTCTGTATCACAGGATTCTTTTCTTCATGGTCCTTTTCACAATGTGAAATTATTTATTATCACTTGTTTGAAAAATACAATAAACAACAACATCCTGCTCCCAGTGAGGATATAATCACCGTAAAGAGAGCAGCCACATCTGTCTTTTTCACCACTGTGCCACCCTTTAGTGCCTAGAACAGTGCCTGGCACATAGTAGGACTCAGTGGATAGGTGTTGAGCAAATGGTGCTAAGGAATACTGAAGATTGTTAAGGAAGGTAAATCAAGTTGGAAATGATAGTCTACTTTCCGCTCCAGCCCAGGTTGGAGTAAACACAAGTAGTGAGAATGGCTGCATAAAAGAAAATTGCCAGTAAGTTCTAATTTAGTAATAATAAAGAAACATCTTATCAAAACTGCTTTCTTTAGAAGGAAATCCTATTGGTATTTTATAACTACTCTGTGTCAAGTTAATGGTGTTCTCTGGCTAAGGATTTTCAGCACAAAGTCTTACAATTGAAAGGAAATTGCAGCAAAAGAATTAGTGGCTGATACTGTTAGGATACAGTCCAGCTAGAACCTCCGTCAAGGCACTTATTCATGGAAGTTTCTTGTGACTTTTTTTTCTTTCCTACCAAGTTAGATACTCTATGAAATGTTCTGGGTTATCAGATATTTCTTCTTGATTTATGTTCTTTAGTCTTACTGTTGCTAGTTTTGGGAAGTTCTGTTGTCTTTTGTTAAAAGTCATGTCTGTTGATAGCTTATCAGAGAACAGAGTCGTTCTTCATACATTGTTGGACATTTAAGTAGCTGGAGATAAGTGAGAAGTATTACGTAGAAAAACAGAATAAAGGACGTTAAGTTATGTAAATAAATAGCATTTACCCCACAGGTAACCTGAACCACAGTACACAGTGTCTCAAGCCAAAACATACCCTCTGAAAATTTTCCAGTTACTAGTAACTTCATCTTCTCATTTAATTCCAATTTTGTTGCTGCTTTCTAGGAATTATTATTCTAAAGCTTTGTCATGTTTAAATTATGTCTCCCCACCCCCACCCCACCCCAATACAGATTATTATGCCCTTTTTGGTACCATATGCCGTGGATGTGAATTTCCCATAGAGGCTGGCGACATGTTCCTGGAGGCCCTGGGCTTTACCTGGCATGACACCTGCTTTGTATGCTCAGTAAGTAAACTCTTATTTCCAAGTGAGAGGAGCAAGTATGGCCAGTTTTCACCTAAGCACTAAATAGAAACAGCAGATTTTGTATCTTTCAGACCTTCACACCTAGAAGTATTTTTACAGTGGTCTTCAAAGTTGTTCATTAAATTTTTTGTCATTATGTTGAGTTACTTGGCACAGAATAAGATGCTTACCCCTTTAGAGAAGGTCCTATTTTTAATTTATGTTTATAAGGAGAAGCTATATGTTTCTTAAAACAGTAAGAGACCTTGACATTTTTTTAAAACTCTGTTTTATTAGAGTGTTCTTAGTAATTTTTGGAAACATGAGTACTTGAAATAGAAACACACAATTCTAAAAAAATCTATTGTTGAATTAAGCATGGAAGCAAACTATATGTTGATTTGCCTCCTTCCTTAGCAATAGTCCATGAATAATTTTTTTTCTTTTTGAGACTATAATAAACCTATAGTTTACCTATTGTATTTGATATTTTCACATTTTCGGTTTTATTTTTAATGGCAGAGATAGATTGAGAGATTTACATTGCCCTTAGACTTTTATTTTTAATTTAGAAAGTAAATATCCAATAGAGATATTCTGTTCAGATATTTGCTTTTTTTTTATTGGGTTTAATATATCTTATAATTCTCAATACCCGTTGTATGAAGGGAAAAAGTTATGTTAATAGGAATCAAAGGATTTCCCCAAACATGACCATTGACCTTGTTCACCTCCTCCATCTCTTAGACTTCAGGGTATCTATAAAATGTAACAACTGGTAGCAGATTTGTTTGCTCCTGTTCTCTGGTAGAGATGCTCATGACCATTACACTTAACCAAAGGCAATAGGAAAGACAAGAGGACATAAATGCAGATAGTTAACAGACTGTATCATCATCCAGTAGCCAGATGTTGACCAGGGTTTTTACTATAAGGAACAAAGAAATGAATTAAAAAGAATTCTCAGGCAGTCTACGTCTGTGTGTCTGGAGCCTTCGGAATATCTGGCAAAGCAGTTGTATTTGTTTTTGTTTTGAATGCTCTGGTTCCCTACAACAGGAGGCATTGATTAGAATTTGGGAAGAGAACTTATATTTAATGTGACCTCTTTATGTCTTAATTTTTTCCTCAGAGCCAAGTGCTTCACTTATCATGAAGAAAAATAGTGATCACTGATTTAAATAAATCAGAAAGCATTCCAGGAAAAAGTCATTCTTCATTGCTTTTGAAAGATTACATGAGATATCATAGTAATGGTTAAATATCAGAATGTCCAATACAACCAACTGACGTGCTTTGTCTTATCCAGTGGGTGAAAAAATCATTTCCCCTTCTTAGGCATATTTGATAAAATAACGATATTCTTTTAAATAATGCTTCTTTTTCAGGTATGTTGCGAAAGTTTGGAAGGTCAGACCTTTTTCTCCAAGAAGGACAAGCCACTTTGCAAGAAACATGCTCATTCTGTGAATTTTTGAAAGTCAACAGCTCAGGGGAGGAGAAGAAATTTGAAGAGAAAGAGAAGAATTAGAATTACCGATGAGTTTTTAGATTTAATATTTGTAGGAGTTTTGAAAAATAATAGTGACCCTGAAGGGATAAATTCCAGCTTTAAAAACCAAGTCTATGAGGAAATATTTGGCTTCGTAAAGTAGAGAGACAGTTTGGCATTTATGATTACTTTTTCCTCTATTTTCTGCCCATAAAATAACTTTTATAAAAGCCAATTTCCTGGTTGACTATTAAATTCATCATAGAATAAATTAGTGAAGAATTAAACTTTAGAATAAAAACCTCTAACATTTAGGCTGAGGTGATTATACTTTCTTTCCTTGTTAGGTAGTTCTGAGTAAATCTGTAAAAGGCAATGAAAATTGCCTTGCATCGTCAGTAGGTAAAATGTATTTTTTCAAAAATAGTGCTTATCTTTAAAACAGGAAATAGTTTAAACAGAATTTTATCAGTAGTAGGTATCAGTTTTTTAAAAAACCGTATGTACTTTTTTGTCTTCTAGCTGATCATTCCAGTGGGGAAGACCATTGAGATTTTTTATCAAAATGTGTCCTGCCAATAGGAGGTGTGGTATTTCTCTCATCTACCCCCCTCCAAAAAGCCACCATGTAGTTTCTAAATGTCAAATTTTTTGCCTTTTATTAAAATATGGCCATTTCTATTTATGTATTCATTGTTTTATCACCTGTAGTAGTCAAACTCCATTTTTCCCCCTTCCCTCATGCTGAGGTTAAGAGAGTAAGTAGAAAAGAGTGTGGTTAAGAATTATAGTAAATCAGAGGATTGTATCCAAAATTTTTAAAAATCCCCCCCTTTTGGACAATAAGTCCATTAGATAAGTTTCAGATCTGTACTACTGACTGATAAAGGTTCGAGAACTCTCTTTGCAGAATAATTTTTTCTTTGATTCTGCATTAGAAAAGTAAAAGATTGGCTTGGGGATGTGATAAAATCTAGGATTTTTGTTTGTTTGTTTTCTTTCAGTAGCTCTCTCAATAATAAATGAACCACTTCCAAATGTGATCTTGAAGTTTGGAAAATGTTTACTCCCAGAGGTTGGTAGTATAGGAGGGAAACATGATCAGTCGCCCAGACTGGCTCGTTATTTGTTTTCTGTATTTGGGGGGGGGGGGGGGGGGGGGGGAGGGGGAAATTATGTAGATAACACATGAAGACAGAGCAACCATTGTGGTGAAATTGTGAATTGTATTGATATTTGCCCAGTGAGAAAACAGATTATGACATTGAATAGTTTTTCCCTTTGTTTCTAGAATGGATGCAAGCCCATGATCCCACTAAGGTATAATATCAATTTGTCTGGGGCAAGGTGCTTTTAAAGTTGAGACAGAACCCCAAGCCCTCCCTGCCCCATAACTCACTAACGACTTCACTTCCATTGTGTGTGTGTGTGTGTTTGTTATAGAGGGAGGTTTTAGGCTCTAATATTTGTTTAACCTCCCTAAGAACTTTGCAAGGCATCTGTCCTGAAAGCTGTTAATTTATGGCCTAGCAGATTTATATTATATACAGATAATAATTAAGTGGGAATAAAAGAATGAACAGGGTGACATGAAGTGGCTTCACCAGTAGCAACCCCCAACTACCTCCTCGCCCTGCATCTGTAGGGAGGCAGGAAGTTTTATTTTCGAAACAGAGTGCTGGGACTGAATTGTGCGTTATTTCTCATTGCTGCTGAAACCACCTGTAGAGTTCGTGCTGGCTAATGTGCGTGGTCACATATCTTAATGTCAGTCTCTTTCTTTACGTGATATAAACTGGTGGTTTTGTTTTGATGTAGTAGAGATTTTTTTTTTTTTGGTTGTTTAGTTTTGCCTTTATAGATTCTGTGCCAAGATAGTATTTGAAAAGTCAGTGGCATTTAGGTATTTCCTTTAAAGAATTTTATTTGACCTGGATTTCTCATTAAGTTACTTTACACTAAGGATCTCATTTTTATTCGATTTTTCTTCATACACACTATTCATGGAGCGTAATTTTGCATTCCTCTAAATTTTGTCCCTAAAAGGATAACATTACTTCTTCCTAATTTATCATTTTGTCTTTGTGCTTTGTCCTCTTTTGTGGCAAAGCTTTATATCTGTTCCTAAAACAGTTAATCCTGTGAAATAAATATTGATTATAACCCAGAAGAATCTCTGTATTTTCCAGTGGGGAATGCCGTATTTAATATACCAGCATTAATCTTTTAATAACTGGCAGAGCACTTTATTCTTCTGGCGAGCTCCCTGAATATTTATTTTTCTGATTATAAATATTCCAGATCAGTAGCATTTTTTTTTAATCATTACCTCTTTACTGTAGAGCATTTACTTGTAGTCTTTCTTGATGTATATTTTGGAATGCTGTACTTAGTATAATACAGATTAAAATTACAGTATATGACTCTAAAGCATCCCCCACTTGTATTTCCCAAATTCGAAAATGCTAGTGACAGGTTCCAACTTATAACATTTTGTAGACTTCCAAGGGCTGAATGTTGCCCACTGGAGTGGCGGCCGAGAGAGGATCCCCACTGTTTATGTTCATAGCACCATACTATTTCTTACGGATTCGGGCTCCATTTACAGCCGAACACTACAGCCTCGTCATTTGGTCACAGTGTTAAGACCGATAAGAGTTGCAGTCTTCCAACTGTCAGTTGAAACCTTATGGTTAAAAGTCATCTACAACAAAAATGTTTTCATGGTGCCATTTTCACAGGGTAGTGTACTAGGACCACTTTCATAGAAAATGATTCCTTCCTCTCCCTTGTTCAAGTAGGAATCTAGTGTTGTATTAACATTTTTGTAACGTTTAGAGTTTTTTAATCATCCCTGTTGAAAGGAGAGGCCTTTCAGACATAAGAGAGGGGGAAACACTGACTAATTTTATACGGATCTAATGTGGCATCACTGTCATCCCTAATCCTCCGCATGTTTTAAGATACTGGCTTTGGATTTTCAAAATATCATTTGCCTTTCTGTTGATCTGTATTTTCTGTTGCTTTACATTTTTCAGTTTGTATATGTCTGTACTGTTTTGCTTTTGGCTATATTTTCGAATAAACACCACATGAGAAATATAATCAGCATAGTTACACCTTAATGTGCACATAATAAATAAATGGCCGCAGTGATGTAAACAGGCTCTCCTGGTTTTTCTTTTTGTGGGTGGCACGTGGGTCCCATCAAAGTGATCGTGGGGATAACAGGGTTTGCAGGATCGGAAGAGAAATGACAATTCCCGGGAGAATCCCTCTTTTATGACATTTGCCTATCAAAATGTCCCAGAAACAAAACATTTGAAAAGTGTCACATTTATTCTGCTTTGATCCATGTTTATGCTGTGCATGTAGCAAGTACACAATGCACGGTTGTATATTAACAAATAAGTTCCATTGTTTTAAAAAAATACTCATTGCTGAAACCGTTTATTGGAATAACCTGTCCTATCAAGCACTATTTGTATCACATATCCTATTTAAACAACGTAAGTGGTCGTCTGCATTTTCACACTTTAATCAAACGGTACGTTCAGGGTTAACTCATCCCAATCTCATTAGTTAACTTTTCTATAACTAGATAGGCTCATCTATTCCTCATTTGTTTATTGATTTGAGTCAGATTTTTTTTTTCCAAGTGTATAAAGTTAAGAGGAATGTTTCTGTTGCAGGCTGTATATTGGAAATAAAAGGCAAATTCAAGTCTATTTGCTCACAGTATATTAAACTCCAGAAGCCAAACTTATAAGGGCATCAAGTCTGCATTTGACATTTTAATAGCTGCTGTTTGGTTTCTATCAATCACGTCATTGCACATTAAAATGCACCAACAAAATAAGAGATCTGTCATTCCTTCGTTAAGAAACAGTAATCCAGTACAAGATTTATAGGCTTAAGACTCAACAGTGTGTGTTCACAATAAATCCCCATTCAGTGCTCAAACCAGAAACAAGCCTCCCTGTCGTTCGGTGTTTTCTGTTCAAAATGTCCCCAATATAAGATTATCAAAGGTTTTCTTCCAGAACTACGTATAAAATCCTTTTTGCCAGCAAAAGCTTAATTTAGGTTGGCGGCTTCCCTTTTTGAGTATTCTCAGACAAGATCTTGGTTATATCAGAAACACATAGGTACTGATGTATTATTAGCGGGCCTGGTGTTAATTAGGGAGAATTACCAGAAATAGTTTGCTTCGTGGGAATTTATTACAGAATCACACTTGACTGATGGCAGAATAGGAGTTGCTGAGAGAGAGCAGCTCCCACTCGTAACCACTAATTAATAGGGTGCCAAAATTCCGCAGAGGGGGTCTCATCCCAAGGGTGGGAGCCTCCGGGGAAAACAGTTCCTTTGCAGTATTTAAAATTTAAAAGAGGAAAGGGGCTAGGACACATGGCTACCCAACAGAAATCTCAGACTGATACAGTTTTGTGTCGTACTTATGAATGAGAGCATTTAACTCAGGAAGCGCCAAGCCCAAAAGTTTGTCAAAGACTCCTTTCCCCTCCAAAAGTCAGAAGTAGCCTGTGTTTCTTCTCCTAAGGAGATATGCAAAGGTATTTTTAGTGTGGCAAGCATCTGATTACTCAACTGTTTGCTTTATGAGGAAAATCTGGAACAAACCATTTGTCTACGGTATTCTATTACTGAACATTTACTCTTTATTCCATGATTTAGAGGCTGAGTAGGTGGCAAGATTACATCAATGATTAATAAGAAAGGTGTGGCTTCCACACCTTGAACCCAGAGTTGAGGAGAAATAAGGTGTGTTTAGTGATCGGCACTAAGGGCAGAGCACTGGGGGAGCCCTGGTAAATGAAAGTTGGCCAAGAAGGCAATTCTGTTCCCTGTGCTTGTAACTGCGTGTAATCACATACAATAAAGCTTGGAGCCATTGCTTAGTGTAGAAGAATAAAGCATTTCCATGTCAGAAAACCTGATCACTGACCTCAGGGAGAAAAATAAAACAATTTGTAATTCACAGCATAGTTTTCAATTTCTCTTCAGGCAGTATAGTTCCCAGGGAAAATGACTTCTGTG